TTAATTTTGCAGTCATTGTTAGAATTTCTAAGAGATTTTTCATGTTCTGTCTTGTAATGTTTTCCTAGCTATCTGTAAATCAAATTTTATAGCATCATAGAACTTTTTGAGGATATTTTAAAAAGATAGTTTTGATTGTTAATTTTTAAAATGTTATTTTCTGTCCCACTAATTAGCTCTTCCTTCTAGGGTAGACTTTATTATTTGCTTTTCTTGACATTTCTCTGACATCTTGTAGATCATCCTCAAATATCTGCACCTTCTTTGTTGTCTTACTACAGTTAAGAGTGAGATTGACTGACAGCTCAATCTGTGCAGGCACAGGACTTATGTACTGGCAGCTTTTGTTTTAAGCTAAAGAGGAGGTGTGATGACAATCTTGTTCTTGACCCTTCAAAATGTTATAGTGAGAGTTTTCTTGGTGTTTCCAACACCCACTCTAGCTTTCCTAGTCTTCTCTAGATTATTCTATTTCTTTAAGGAAGAACCTTTCTTTTTTAATATGTTAAATACTGGCTTTGTGGCCTTTCTGGGGGAGATTAACTTTCCCATAGAAACCTAGTTAATCTCTCAGATTTAAGTCCCATTTCTCATTCTTACCTCTGTCATACCTGCTGCCTATGAGCTGAGTGATTATCTAGACTGGGATTGTTTCCTCCTTAACTCAAGATCCCTTTGTAGGTATTTTGGGTGATAGATTCATCAGTGTCTACTGTGGCAGCTTCTAGAAATTTTGTGAAATTTTTAACCAGTTGAAATTCCCTTCCCATTTTTTTCTCATTTTCTTTTTTTAATTGAAGTGAAATTCACATAACAAAATATTAATCATTTTAAAGTATAAAATTCATCAGTATTTAGTTTCAAAAAACTTTCATCACCTCCAGAGAAAACCCCATACCAGTAAACAAGTTGCTGTCCATCTCCCACTCCCTCAGACCCTGGCAGCCACCAGTTTGCATTCTGTCTCTATTTACCTATTCTGCATATTTTATAGAAATGCAGTCTTATAGTATGTGACCTTTTATATATGCCTTCTTTCAGTTAACACACTGCTTTCAAGATTCATCTATATTGTGGCAGGTTTCAGTTCTTTATTCCTTTTTATGGATGAATACTATTCTATTGTATGGGTAAGCCACAATTTGTCCATTCATTGAGGGACATATGGGCTTTATTCTACCTTTGGGCTATTGTGAATCATGCTGCTGTGAAATACATGTAAACGTGTTTTTTAGAATACCTGTTTTCAATTCTTCTGTGTATATACCTAATCGTGGAACTGTTGAGATGAATGGTAATTATGTAACTTTTCAAGGAACTGGAAAACGATTTTCCACAGCAGCTGAATCATTTTATATTCCCACCAGCAATGTATGGGGGTTCCAATTTCTTCACATCTTCATCAATATTTGTCATGTTCAATATTTTTATTACAGCCATCCTAGTGTTGGTTTTGATTTGCATCTATCTAGTAAATAGTGATTTTGAACAGCTTGTTCCTTTATTTCTTGCTGTCAGGTTATATTATTTTTATTCCTTCATGATTATTTTAAAGGGAGGGAGAGACTTGGCAAACACAGAGCTGTGCTGCTTTGACCCATGCTAAATGAATACCCTGCCACCTGCCCCCAGTTGCTGGGAGGCCTATGAGACTACAGCCTTCTGGTCTCCCAAGCCTTCAGGACTGATCTCAGATTCAGGAAACCTTCCAAAGGTAGTCTCATTCAGAGACTTCTCAAGGTGATGCATAAATGTCTAGCCATCTCAGCCTAATTTAGGATAAGCTTGAAGAGCTATGCTAGTTCCAGACTGCCCTGTGAAGTCACCCAGTGCTTTTATCACTACTGGACTAATCCTTCTGTCTACCCTTGCTCTGTCCTATCTTATCCACTGGTGTTGTTTTCTCCAAAAGGAACTCCATAACTCCATAATAAACATCCTGCATGTCTAACTCTGTTTCAGAATCAGCTCCATGATAAACTTAACCCACAAGAGACTCTAAATACATGTATCTGGCCTATTAACATGAACTGCAAGAAACCCGACCATTCTTCAATATTCCAGAAATGTATCTAATGTTTGCTTGTTTAAATTTTATATAGAAAGACTGGGACTATTTGCTTTGTATGCCACTAATAAATCTCTTGGGGAAACTGAGGTACAAAGGGGTGCCAGTATTCAGATATTAGATATGGAATCAAAGCCCTGATTCTATGATGCTCTCAATGAAAACATGTTAGTTTTTAGTGAAACTATTACTACCTTCAAAACTGTTCAGTAAATTCAAGGTACTGTATGAAAGCAGCTGGTATTTAGAATATTTCACAATGTGGTCTGTTGAAATGTTTAAATAATTTAAAAACATTTAAGCACTGCCATTTCAGTGGTGGGACTGGTTCAAGGATAGGGTTTTCATAGCCAAGCCAGGCTACCTTGTGTTCCTTAAATTGGGCTGTGTCTTCAGCTTTGGCTTTCATTTCCTCTGCCTCATCATCTCTATCCACTTCTGCATTTTGTCTTTCAAGATCCTCTGGCTGCCCTAAATATTCATTCTCAACCATGGCTCTGTCCCTAGTTGAGCTATGTTCATAATCAGAGAAAAACTGAAGGAAAAAGGGATGTATTCAGTGTTCTTAATTCTTTTTTAAATATTTATTTGAAAGGCAGAGCTATGGGAGGAGAAGAGAAAGAGAAAGAGGAGAGAGAGAGAGAGAAAGAGGGAGAAAGAGAGAGAAAGAGGGAGAAAGAGAAAGAGAGAATGAGAATCTTCCATCCACTGGTTTGCTCCCCAAGTGGCTGCAACAGCCAGCGCTGGGCCAGGCCAGAGCCAGGAGCCAGGAGCCAGGAGGGTCATCTGAGTCTTCCATGTAGGAGCAGAGACCCAAGCATTTGGGCCATCATCCTCCGCTTTCCCAGGAGCATTAGTAGGGAGCTGGAACGGACATGGAGCAGGCGGGTCTCTAATTGGTGGCCATATGGGATGCTAGCACTGTAGGTGGTAAGTTTACTTGCTATGCCACAGCACTGGCCTGTGTTCTTAATTTTTTATTGCATACTTCCTACCCAACCCCTGGGCCTGGGTAGCTGGTGTTCAAGAAATATTTGCCAATTTGAAACAAGTCCACAAGAGAATGCCAGGCACTTTTAAAAGTGGAAACTGGGGTTGGCGCTGTGGCTCACTTGGCTAATCCTCCACCTGCAGCGCCAGCACCCTGGGTTCTAGTCCCGGTTGGGGTGGCAGGTACTAGTACCGGTTGCTCCTCTTCCAGTGCAGCTCTCTGCTGTGGCCCGGGAAGGCAGTGGAGGATGGCCCAAGTGCTTGGGCCCTGCACCCGCATGGGAGAACGGGAGGAAGTACCCGGCTCCTGCTTCGGATCGCTGCAGTGCTAGCCGTAGTGGCCATTAGAGGAGTGAACCAACGGAAGGAAGACCTTTCTCTCTGTGTTTCTCTCACTGTCTATAACTTTCTCTCTGTCTCTCTCTCTCTCTCTGCCTGGCAAAAAAAAAAAAAGTGGAAACTGTATGACTTTTGCTTCATCCATCCTCTTCAGTGAAACCTAGGGTTTATTTAAAAATTACTTTCTTACTGATGGCTTTTTTATAAGTATAATGTAATTATGTCCTTAGTTCACAAAGCTCAGAAACAGCACATATTTCTATGAGAAAGTATTACAGATGACAAGGAAAGAGAATAAGGATAGAAAGCATCTCCTGGCTTTTCCCAGGAGGATGCCCCAGTAGCAGTGGCAGCAGCAACTGCAGCAGGCTGTGGGCAATGGCTATACTGTATCTCCTAAGGAGCGAGGCCTCTCACAGAGAGCCATCCTGCTCCTCCATTTCCTCGATATGTGCCAGGAAAGTGAATCAAAGGATGTAGCCTCTCAGAATGGGAATGATAGAAGCAATTAGTACACAGTGTGGCCATGAGGAGTAAAGGAGCTAATGTTTTTAGTTCAGTATGTTGCTTGGGGCATGAGAAGCTCCCAGTAACAATACTAATATTGATGTGTTCTCACACACACACACACACACACACACACACACACATCTCCAATTTTGCCTAGCATTGTGCTAGGTTATCTAATTGGGGAATTAGGAATGAGTCAGAGATGAAGGGCTCAGTTTTCCAGAAGCTCAGAATCTGATAGAAGGCTGTGATGTCCTTTCTGACCAAGGAGGACAGTGAATGGTTGTTGACACAGGAGTTGTGACTCTCATTCCTCCCATCTCTTACTCCCTCTCTCTTGCTGCTTTTCACAAGCCCTTCAGGTCTCTGCCTTCCACTAACACTGCCAAGCATGTTCTCCACGGTTGCTTCTCTCTCTTTTTGGAGTTCCCTGTTTGCAGACATGAATGTGGCTTGTTCTTTCATCTCCTTCAAGTGTTTGTTCAAATGATACTTGTGAGGTCACTCCACAGAAACTAACAAACACTCTGTTTCCTGGCTTTATTCTCTCTAGACTAGGGCTGCCCACAGACATTGTATTTGCTTACTTTTTCATTTGTAAGCTCTGCCAGGACAGGGACCTAAAACTCTAGAACCACCAATAGTGCCTACTATACATATTTGATACATAAATATTTGTTGCACAGATGAATAGGAAAAGGGGGTCCTTTAGATGGAGAAAGGGAAGTTTTCAAAGGGCTTCTTTGAAGGACCATGGCGTTTGGGTTGGACTGTACAGAGCAGTGTGACTTATAGAGACAAGGGAAAGGGCAGGGTTTCTGGGTAAAAGGCACAACACAAGCAAAACAAAGAGGCAGGGAACTGTTAGTTATGACAGTGGTTAAGTCGGAAACCTCGCAAATAACACGGACTCACGCAGCTGCCCTACAGCAAGGGAAGTATCCGCGGGTCGCCGGTGCGTAAAGCTTCCAGGTAGCAAAGTGACCCCAGCTGTGCACTTTGGGCCTCAGCTCCGCCCACTGTGAACTGGATCCTGTGAGAGGAACTTGGAAGCCTTCAGGCCCCGCCCAGAGGGCGGGGTGAGGGAAGAGACGCGCAAGCGCACTCTCACTCGGGCCGTTGCCCGGGCCTTTGGGCCCGGGGCGGCTCCCACGGGTGGTCATCACGGGTTCCTGACGCGGCGGCCGTGGTGGCAGCGCTGGCTGCTGCCTGCCCCACCGTTGCAGTTTGTCACCGCCGCACTGGAGCGGCTTTGCCGGAGCAGAAATGTTGCCGCCACCGCCCAACCGGGGCCTGTTCTTCCTTGTGCTGGGCTCGATCTGCGCCGCCTTGGAATTTGTGGCGCAGGCCAACTCGGCAACAGGTGCTGCCTCTCGCCCCGCCCTGATTCTCCCCTTGTTATCCTATGTCCATCCTTACTTCCCTCCCTCTATTTCTTCTTCCAGCTATACATCTTTCTTTCCTTCTTTCCTTTCTTCCTTCCTCCCTTCCTCCGTTTCGCCCCTCCCTCTTTCTCCCCTCAGTCCATCCTCCCCACTCTCATCGCTCCCTCCATCTGTCAGTTCCTCCTTCCCTTTTTTCTCCCTCTTTAGTCCTTCCATCAGTCCATCCCGATTTACTTCCTTCCTTCATCTATTTGTCTTAATTTTTCTCTCTCCATTCACCTTTCATCTGTCAATCCAATTATCCTTTCTTCCCCTCTTCCCTCACTCCCTCTGTCATCCAGGCTTGAGGCCATAGCCCAGGCATAATCCTATCATCCAGGACTCAGCCTTCCTCTTTAAACCCCTTTGATGTGAAGCCCACCCCTCCGTGGTTGGGCTGTCAAGGTGGAAGGATCAGTCTTGTGCTTCTCAGTACCCCAGTGGGGAGTGGTTCAGTGGCAATGACCTCATTGGAGCCCCTTCCTCCCATGCAGATACTCTGAATGTCCTTCTCATTATCGTGGATGACTTGCGCCCCTCCCTGGGCTGTTATGGAGATAAACTAGTGAGGTCCCCAAACATAGACCAGCTGGCATCCCACAGCCTCCTCTTCCAGAATGCCTTTGCACAGGTACGTCTAAGAACCTCTAGGTATGTGTGTGTGCCTTCTATGTGCATGCCTTCTTCTGCATTGAGGGTTGGTAGTGGTGGAGGGGTTGTCCTTCAGCGATTGTCAGGTGGCACTGATTGTGCCTGGAATCCCTTTGTTAGAGAGAAGCATAGTGTGGAAAATGGTATTTGATACAGTCCTGTTGTCTGCTCCCAAACGAGCTTGTATCTTAAAGGCTGCCCCTCTTCTGGGGAGGGGGGAGTGCTCCCTGCTCTTAATGTGCTTGGGATGGCCCTGATTTTTTCCCGAAATGAGGGGTTGCCTGGTGCTACAGAACGACACCCACAGGTCTGCCAACTGAGCCTTAGGGAAAGGCCAGCTAACTGTGGCAGCCCGCTTCCCTGAACACCTTCACAGGCCGTCCCCCCAGAACACTGCGTGGTCTGTGTACTTGGACAACACTGTCAGGTAGGAGGACATGAGTATTTGCTGATTTTGAGGAACTGATTCCTTCCCTTTCTCTTGCTGGGAAGACTTAAATCCATGACACCTGGGTGAGGCCCAAATCCCGGTGGTTGGTTTTAAGATCTGCATGACTCAGCTGCTAAGCTTTTCCCTGAGGACCTCTGGAGGTTGCTTGGTTACCTTAGAGAATGCAGATAGGCTTTGCTGTGATGACGTTGACCTCTGCTTCTGCTCCCTAACAGCAAGCAGTGTGTGCCCCAAGCCGAGTGTCCTTCCTCACCGGGCGGAGACCTGACACCACCCGCCTATATGACTTCAACTCCTACTGGAGGGTGCATGCTGGGAACTTCTCTACCATCCCCCAGTACTTCAAGGAGAATGGCTATGTGACCATGTCGGTTGGAAAAGTCTTTCACCCTGGTATTGCTCAATGTTCAAAATCTGGGTTTTCTTGTTTTGTGTTTGAGTATGGGAATCCTCTTCTAGGGGTGGAGCTCTCTTCTCCTTGTTCACTGCTGCCTTTCTGGAAAAAAAGCACCTACTTCTAGTTTGCCTTCATGCTTTCCCCAGAAGTGAAAGAGGGTAGGGAATTGGTTTCCCTTCAAAAACTGCAAGTGGTGCTGTCCAGTTCCTTCTGCTCCTCAGGTGGTAGGAAGCATACTCCCTAGGGAGGTGCAGTGTTGGACCTAAGTCCAGCTCTAGGACTGTGTTCCCTCCAGGCTCCCTGAAGGCAAGGTTCAGGACAGGGCAAGAACATCCGAGGACCTCCCATGCAGCTAAGGCTGCTGTTGCTAACTTGTTTTCTAGCGAAGGTGCAGTAAGGTTTGATGAGGGCTATTGCCTGCTCTCTGAGAATTAGATCCGAAAGCTGAGTGTTAGATGATACCCAGAGCCCATTGGTGCCAAGGAATACCAGTCTTGGCCTTGAACACCACCTGATAAAATGGCTTTCTTTAATTGGAGTTTGACAAAATGGGAATGTAGAAGAACAGATGAACTTAAAAACATTATTTTAAATTTTATAAAATGCATGATTATTTGATGAAAAAAATGGAAAGGAAGGTTAAAGAATATGTCACCTGTAATTCTGCCACCCCCAGGAGAGATGCATTTTTCCACCTTGATTAAGATATATTTTTCTCTTATGAGGTTATCATATATATATATATATATATATAATTCTGTATCCTGAAATTTTTAAAAGACTTATTTATAAATTTAAAAGAGGGGGGTGTTGTGGCATAACAGGTTAAGCCACCATCTGTGATGCTGGCGTCCCATATGGGCACTGGTTCAACTCCCAGCTGTTCCACTTCTGATCCAGCTCCTACTAATGCACCTGGGAAAGCAGTGGAAGATACCTGATAGACCTTAGGCCTCTGCACCCACATGGGAGACTTGGATGAAGCTCCTGGCTCCTGGCTTTGGCCTGCCCCAGCCCTGGCTATTGTGGATGGAAGATTCTTTCTTTCTTTCTTTCTTCTTTCTTCTTCTTCTTCTTCTTCTTCTTCTTCTTCTTCTTCTTCTTCTTCTTCTTCTTCTTC